GTCTGTCCATTCATCCATTCATCCACCCACCCACCCATCCATCCATCCATCCATCCATCCATCCATCCATCCATCCTATATTTATTGAACACCGTTTCTCTGGTACTGTACCAGGTACTACAGATACAATGGTGGGGATACAAAAGAAACATAGTCTCTGCCCTCATGAAACTTCTAGTCTAGTGGGGTTGGGGAAAGAAAATGAACAAGTAAGTAAAATAGTAATTATAAGTTCTAGGAAGGAACCAAGGTGCTAAGATAGAGAATAATGATTTGTAGGAGATACCTTACTTTATTTTTATTTTGTTTTTTTTTATCGAGCGTGCGCACAAGTGGGGTGGGGGGAGGGGCAGAGGAAGAGGGAGAGAGAGAATCTTAAGCAGGCTCCATGCCTAGCGCAGAGCCCCATGCGGGGCTCCATCTCACAACCCTGAGATCATGACCCAAGCCCAAATCAAGAATCGGACATTTAACCAACTGAGCCACCCCCCAGGTGCCCCAGAGATACCTTACTTTAGATAGGCTTGTCCCTTTTAAAATGAGACCTGAAATATGCAAAGGGGCCAACTGTTTGAAAAGCTCAAAGAAGAACACTCTAGGGAAAAGGACATGCATATGCAAAGACTCAGAGTTGGGAAAGAACTGAAAACTCTGGGAACTGAAAGGCCCAGTTCAGCTGGAACCTAGTGAACTAGGGAGATCATCAGCATATGAGTGGTAATTGAAGCCATGGGAGTGGTTTAATTTCCCCTGGAGAGTATGTAGAGGAGGAACAAGAAGAGCAGTACATTGGGGAAAAACAACCTAGGAAGGGCTGGAAAAGAAATCTGTAGAGATAAGAGGGGACCAGTCACAGAAGTGGGAAGAAAGGCAAAAAAGAGGGATATCATGGAAGCCAAAGGAGAAAAGAGTTTCAACATTATTATGAGGTTTGGAGTGGTCTAATAAGATAAAGGTGAAAGGGAGTCCATTGGGATTGGCAATTAGGAGGTCGTTGATGATTTTGGCCATTGCCCACTGAGGGAAGTATGGTGGAGTTAGAGGCTAATTAGAGTGGATTAACTACACTACCCCCAGGCCCTCCCTTACACCTTTATTTTCATACTAGAGTATCTTGCCCAGCAAGATTTGGTCTAATCTGGTGAAACTGTTGATGAGCTTTCCCAATTGCTACTCAAAAAGCAGTCATTAAACATTCATTATCTGCCCTGCACCTTGGCACTTGGTGTTAAGGTGATAAAAAGGAGTAGATTCCTGGGACTCCTGGCTGGCTTAGTCAGTAGAGCATGTGACTCTCGATCTCGGAGTCATGAGTTTGAGCCCCACATTGGGTGTAGAGATTACTCTTAAAAAAAAAAAGGGTTCCTGTAACATGGAACTTCCTAGTTAAACTCAAGATTCCCAAGGAATAATTTTGAAAGGGTGGCGCTCTAGCTTCACACTCCCTGAAAAAATCCATCGTGTACACTTGAAGCAACTTACTACTTGCTTGCCTCGGCATGGAAGCATGGGAGATTGTATCCAGCCTATGTTGTATGAACAGTTTATCTTCCACAAAGAAGACTGAATACATTTTCACAGTAATAGCCACTTGGCCGTTTTGACGATTTGCATCACTTTTGTACTCGCTTTCTAATGCCAAAATGCATTTTACTCAACACTGTTTATGAGTAGAAGATTCACGCGCATGTTTGTGGGTGTACACTTCACCTCTACCTCATTTTGTTAAATGATCGACTTTACTTGATGGATAGATTCCCAGTATAATTTTCTCAGCATTTGGGAGCTCATAATGTAAGGAACTGTTTAAATAGAAAGGAAAAGAGTAAGCAATGCAGATTGTCCTTCCCATTTTCAGAGCCCAAACTGACACCCATCAATCATTCATCATCTCAGCCATTCATTAAGTTAATACATATTATCAAGAACCTACCCATCATCTTTTCCAGAGCATCATGAGCTCTTCTCAGATCTGTCGCATTTATAGTCAGTACCGCACATTTTGGTAGTGACCTGTATACGGACTTGAATTGTTCTGTTATTTTTTTTTTAAGGGTTTAATTTATTTGCTTGAGAGAAAGAGCAAGTGAGAGAGACCGAGCGAGCATGAGCGGGGCGGTGGGGCAGGGGAGGCAGGGAAGGGCAGAGGGAGAGGGAGAAGCAGGCTCCTGGCTGAGCAGCCGGACTCGGGCCGATCCCTGAACCCCAGGATCATGACCCAAGCCAAAAGCAGATGCTTAACCGACTGAGCCACCCAGGCACGCCAGCACCCAGTACAGTTTTGAGTGAGAATGTAGTAGGCATTTGATAGTTGATTGATTTTTGTGATTGGGTTTTCAGATACTTATGTTTTTGCTGTTCTTTAGTTTCCCTCAGCCTTTTTCAAGGGAAGGGTGAACATGTGTGCGGCATTTTGCTATGAGGTTTTAAAGTGCTGCACCTCGAAGATTAGCTCAACCAGGAACGAAGCATCTGCACTTTTGTACCTTCTGATGAGAAACAACTTTGAGTATACCAAAAGGAAAACCTTTTTGAGGACACATCTTCAGGTCTGTGAAAATCAAAGCTCCTGTTCTTTTTTTTTTTAAAAAGATTTTATTTATTTATTTGGGAGAAAAAGAAAGAGCATGAGCGGGGGGAAGGGGCAGAGGCAGAGGGAGAAGCAGGCTTCCCGCTGAGCAGGGAGTCCAACGCGGGGCTCGATCCCAGGACCCTGAGATGCATGACCCCAGCAGAAGGCAAGAGCTTCACCAACTGAGCCCCCCCAGGCGCCCCCCCAACCTGGGTTTAAATCCCAGTTCAGCTCCTTACTTACTGTGTGACCCTAGGCAAGGGACTCAGTCTGTCTTCAACTTTTGCCTTATCTGTAAAATGAGGCAGGTATGGTTCACCTTGCTGGGTTACCGTGAGGGCCGAACAGAAAGTGTGTGTGGTGTCAGGCACTGTGCCTGGCATGTGTGTAAGGGACACTTAGTGCGTGGTAGTTGTCATTTAACGTCTACATTTCTTTTGCTTGTTGGATGAAACCACTCTGAGCCAGACCACAGATGGGACTTCTTGACTCCTTAGGCAGCTTTGCCCTCTAGGAAGTCCTTGGTCGTATTTCCGTCGTCTTCGCTGCCACAGTCTGTTCTATTGGTGGTGTTTTATTGGAGCCTGGGTTAGAAACGGGGAAGCAACCATAAGTGGCTTCCTAGAAACATCATCGGGAATGGGAAACTCTGATAGAGGTAGATGCTTCCTATAAAAATCTGCCACGTGGTTACTTAGGGCTACGAGGGCCAGCATTACCTGTGAGGGCTTCTGCTATGTGCTTTTATGAGGCACCACTTAAAGACCGCCTTCCCCAAAACACTTCGGCAGTAAACGTGCCAGTGTACCTGAAATTCCCCTTTAAGGTCCATTCTTCGGGGTCAGAGCATCCATTCTCTCAAGTCATTTATCGAAATATCACATTAATAAGTGTGAAGACTTAAAACCATCTCTGGCACATAGTAAGTGCTCAATAAAGGGTTAACTAGTATTATAATTAGGATCTCTTTCATTCTCATAACTGCGCTATCAAGTAGGTATTGTTATCCTCCCCATAGGACAAATGAGGACAGTGAGGCACAGGAGGGTGAAATAACTTTCCTAAAGCCCCACAGTGAATAATCGACTCTAGAGCCTGCACTCACAGCTCCCACAAAACCCTGCTTCCCGTGAGCGGGGGTAAAGCCTCCAGCCATCAACAATGGAGAATGAATCACGTAGGCGATCATCCAAGGGAGCTTGAAAGATTGAAACCACTCCCTAAGGCCCTAATGTATCCTGCCATCTGAACTGGAGAGAGCCGAGTCAGAAACCAGGACGGGAGCTGAGGGGCTGCGGTTGGGAGTCCAGCATGCTGAAATCGACTAGTGAAAGGCACTGAGAAACCATCCAAGAGAAATGTCATTTATTCCCAGCTTTGCCATGGTGACCACCTAGCCAGCGGAGACCTGACCACCGTCGTGTCAGTTCATGATCTTGCAAGCTGTTTTAGATCTCGCTGTGCTAGGACTTGTGAACAGTTGTTCGCCACTAACCAAGAAAAGGCTGAATAAACTTTGCAATTGTGACCTTTTGAAGTTGCTCTTTCGCTAGAAGAATTTAAACCCTTCATGTATGAAGAAAACAGATTATGATGGAACGGTGTAGCATTTTTATTTTATTTTAATTTTTTTTAAGATTTTATTTATTTGAGAGAGAGAGAAAGCATGAGTAGGGGGAGTGGTAGAGGGACAAGCAGGGTCCCCGCTGAGCAGGGAGCCCGACGCGGGGCTCGATCCCAGGACCCTGAGATCATGATCTGAGCCGAAGGCAGACGCTCAACTGACTGAGCCACCCAGGTGCCCAGTGCAGCATTTTTAAAAGGAACATTTCAGACAGGTGCTTATGGGCTTCCACAATGATGAAGATAAGCAGCATTTGTTCAAAAGACATTCGAGAAACAGTGTGTGCTTCTTCCCACAGATCATAATCGCGGTGAGCCAGCTGATAGCCGACGTGGCGCTAAGCGGAGGATCGCGATTTCAGGAGTCTCTGTTCATTATCAACAATTTTGCAAACAGTGACAGACCCATGAAGGTATGTTCTCACTGCAAGGAGTAAACTAGAACCACCTTCCGTGGCAGAGAAGTTTACACTCCTCTCGTTACACTGTCATTGGATTCACCACTCTTGATGGTGTCGAGTGTATAGGACGTGGGCTTTGTCTTGTACAGGCCTGCGTCTCCAGCACCCAGAACACGGCCTGGTACGTAGTACATCTTCCCAAAATTATCTGACTGGATGGAGGAATGACTATACTGTGTATACATAGTATTACAGCTAATGGGATTGGAATTTTTTTCTGAGCTTGATTTCCAAACTTGCTCAGAAAACAGATGGCTTCTTTTTTATTTTTATTTATTTTTTTATTATTAACATATAATGTATTATTTGTTTCAGGGGTGCAGGTCTGTGATTCATCAGTCTTATGCAATACACAGGGCTCACCACAACACATACCCTCCCCAGTGTCCATCACCCAGCCACTCCATCCCTCTCACCCCCCTCCACTCTAGCAACCTTCTTTTTTGAGAGTTATTACCATTTATGATATTGGTTACTGAAGCACTGGGTTTCAGGAATCCTCTGTTCACTGATTACGGCTTGCCCTAGATGTGGATTGGAAAACCCAAGCCCAGTCCTGTTGTTCTTAGGTACCAGCTGGCTGAGGCTGAGCCCAAGACCCTGACCACCATCCCTCTTTCTTACCTGTACACTCACAACCTATAACATTGTAAAAATGCATTTGTCTTGTTGCACGGAGAACATGTCCTGATCTTCAGTGATGCGTGTGTGCAAGGGAAGACGAATCTTTTGCCAATAGAAGACTTTCCCTCCCAGAGGGATCATCCCCATTCTTGGGAAAGGTCATCCATCCTCCAGGATCATTTAACAATACTGTATAAAAAAAAACTGGAAGGAAAAAAAAAAAAAGCTCCCAGTCACAGCATACTTGATGTTTAGGACATGTAGAATCTACGTACTAAAAAAAAAATTATTCCCATAGGAATGTTGCTTAGACTGAAAAAAACAAAAAACAAAACAAAACCAAAAAACCCACTGAGTAGTACCAGCCCTTCTCCAGCTGGGAAAGTTTGCTTTTCAGCCAGTTCTACTGGTTCTCTGCGAGATCAGTATATGTTCCAACTAATCCCATGAGCACAGAAACAATTTATGTCATTTAGGATCTTCTACCCTGAAATTTATTTTTACCAGTTATTACCATTCTTAATTCTATGTTATGTAAAAGTTGGATTAGCATCTTTTTCAAAGTAAATGAGCTCTACTGTGGAAACGAGCTCTACTGTGGCTGACCTTGATAAGAACTCTTTGTCATGACTCATTTCTTAGTTGTATTCCGGTAGGGCTGTCATCACCAATAAACCCTGTGACAACAAGGTGTGCCTTTACCCCAGTAAATAAAATTGCTACTGGGGTATAAGAAGAAACTTTAATCTGAAACTAAGGATGTACTGTATGTTGGCTAATTGAATTTAAATAAAAGTTAAAAAAAAAAAAAGGAACCTTATTGGACATAATTATGATTTTTAAAGGGATCAAGAAAGCACTTTTAAGAACTGTTTCCTCCACATTTGGTTATATTCACATTGGAAAGCTCCCTAACCCCTGTACTTGTCCCTCACTCATCTTCTCCGAATCCTACAGGTAATCGTGATTAGTCCACTGGGGTTAAGAGGAAGGGATAGTACTTTCTTAATAGTGGCTGGGGTAAGAGGACACTGTAACTTAGTGGGTTTGGAGAACAAAACAACACTCCGAGAGAAGCTAGTAAATTCTTTAGAGTGTTCTGTGATTCATAACCTTTTAGTTGTAGAAGTGGAAATGTTTGCAGTATGGTTTTTACCTGAGTGTATATGGTAATTGGTGGATGGGATAGGTATGCTTGTCTGTGTGGGAGAGTGGCTGAGATCACTAGCCCTGGAGCCAGGATGTCTGGGCATAAATCCTGTCCCTACCACTTAACCAACTGTGACACTTAGGCCGAGCTATTTAACTGTGGTGTGCCTCAGTTTTCCCATTGGTTAAATGAATTATAACAGTACCTATTTCATAGGGTTGCTGGAAAAATTAAAACATGTAAGGCACTTAGACCATTGCCTGATACATAGTAAGCTGTCAGTTTTTAGTTACTCTTGTAACTGAAATTACACAATAATGGCAAATAATTCTCGTGGCCATGGAATTTACAGTGGACAAGCTAGAGTTCAGAGCCAGGTAGTCTGGTTCCAGAATCCATGCTTTTATGTATTGTGAGCACACTGCCTTCAGCCTTCAGCCTCTGAAGCCTGAGCCAGTTGGACCTTTTAAAAAGAATTCATTTAAAGCTCTTTAGGGGCGCCTGGGTGTCTCAGTCAGTTAAGTGTCCGGCTCTTGCTCTCAGTTAGGTCTTGATCTCGGGGTCATGAGTTCAAGCCCCATGTTGGGCTCCATGCTGTGCTTGGAGCCTACTTAAAAAAAAAATAAAGCTCTTCAGACATGTAATAGACCAAGAACCAAATACCAAGAACCGTAACCAGGAATATAAATCATGTTATTCCCAGAATTGGATGCCAAGGCTTAGAGGACATTGATAATATTAATGGACACGCCTTTTGTTTGTTTGTTTCGAAATTAGGCAACTGCTTTTCCCACAGAAGTCAAAGACTTGACCAAGAGAATCCGTACCGTTCTTATGGCCACTGCTCAAATGAAGGAGCATGAGAAAGATCCTGAAATGCTCATTGATCTCCAGTATAGCTTGGCCAAGTCCTATGCAAGCACCCCAGAGCTCAGGAAAACCTGGCTCGACAGCATGGCCAAGATTCATATAAAGAATGGAGACTTTTCAGAGGTGACGCCTTCAGACTTTGTTCTAAGCACAATCCTGCAAAAACCCTGGAACACGGGCTGACCGTTCTTTCTTTGTCCTCCTTTTTCAGGCAGCAATGTGTTATGTCCACGTGGCCGCTTTGGTTGCAGAGTTTCTTCATCGAAAAAGTAAGATATTTCTGTTCTTAGAGACAGGGAGGATTTCCATTAGCGCGAGAGTTTTTATGTTTGTAGCTTGATGTCATTGAGCTCCGAAAACTATGTTCACCTTTAGCCCCATTCCGTGTTAAACAGAAGTTGTTATAAAAGAAAACTGGATTATTCATTTTGCCTTCTGCTTCCATTAAGAGTACAAGAATAAGTTAAATAGTACAGGGCCAGGCCTGATGCCCAGTGTTTATTTTTTCAAGACTGTCTCCCTGGAAGATTGCCACCGATTAAATTCTTCTCAGGGCTTATGAGAAGCTCGGGTTAATAGAGATCATTTGTTTTCCTCTCATCTCTCTCAGCTTCACAAATACTGCCCACCAGGGATATCTCTGTAGCCACTTTCACGCACCAATACTTTGGTATTAAAAGGCAGTTAGCACATCAGCAAGATGGCCAAATAAGGTGTCCCTTGTTTGTATACCCTCCCCTCCTACAGTTGGGCATCTATCCGTGGACAAAAGTGCCTCTGTGGGAGCTGTGGGATCCAGCACCGTGTGCCCAGGGGCCTGGGGAGGAATCCCACCCATACGTTAGGTAACGGGCAGTCGGACCTTGGTCCCCTAGCAGGCCCTAGCCCTTCTCAGCTGCGGTCTGAGAGCCCCTGGAGAACACTGCCTTAGACAGTCATCCACAGATGAGATGACCTGGGTGCAAGTCCAGGGGTCCAGCTGAGATGTTTAGCATGCCTTTGGAGCAAAACAGATACAAGTTCGGATGCCTTGGGGAGGGTAAGAGGACCAGTTTGACTTGACTCAGGCACCCCCTTCCTCGAGGTGGCACAGCTCAGTGCCAAGAGAGACCTTCTCACCCACGATTTCTTCAGTGGGAAAAAGTGAGAGCCTGTGAATGGGCACCTGGCTTCCCCAGCAGTACAGGACCTGCCGAAGAGGCCTATTTCTCTCTTGCCCCGCCAGAGTCCTGGCTCATGAGCCGCATGACTGGCGGCAGGAAGAGGCGGGGAGTGATGCAGATAGAACTCCTAGAGGACACTAAAAAGACAGGGATCCTACTAGCTGCCTTGCAGGCCCCATTCAGAACCCTGCCAACAAGGCACTAGGGACACTTAGCTCATGGATTCCACCCCCCTCCCGCCCCATCTAGCCCACAGGCACTGTCCGTACTCTGTGCATCTAAACCACATACTCCTTTATCCTATAGCCGGCTCCCTGTGTGTTCTCCTGATGGGTGGAGAGAGCAAGCTTTGGCAGACGACCAGAGAGCCATCCAGAATCTGTAGGCCACTAAGGGACCACAGACTTGAGCTTTAGCATCACCCTTGACAGAGCAAAAGGGAGCTGTTAGCACCCAGCCTGGTGTGTTGCATGATGGAGAGAAGGCATACAAGCTTAAGGAATCTGCCACAAAGGGGAGCATGAAGTGTGAAGCAAGGATATCCCTAGTGGGTCTGGTAAAGCCGCAGACTCCCTAGCAGGGCAGATGGAAGGTATTTCTCTCCCAAAGTCAGTCAGTAAAGGTGGTTGGAGATGGCTGCTACTTTCAGATGCAAGACTTCAGAGAACAGGAAAAATAAAGGAAACATGACACCACCAAAGGATCACAGTACTCTTCTAGTAACTGGTGCCAAAGACCTGGAGCTCTGCACTTTACCTCATCAAGAAAACAAAAGAACTGTGTTAAAGAAGCTTAATGAGCTGCAATAAAACAGAAGGACAACACAATGAAATCAGGAAAACAATACAAGAACACAACAAGAAGTTAAATATAGAAATTTTTAAGAAAACACAAATTCTGGCATTGGAGAATACAGTGAATGACGTGAAAAATGCAACAGAGAGCATTACCAGCAGAATGGATCAAGCAGAAGAACTAATCTGTGAATTAGAAACCAGGACCTTTGATGGGATACATGCGTGGCTCTTGGTTCAGGCTCGGGTCACAGTCTCAGGGTCGTGAACGCGGGCTCCATGCTCAGTGGGTTGTCTGCTTGAGATTCTCTCTCCTTCTCCCCCTGCCCCTCCCCTCTAAAATAAATAAATAAATCTTAAAAAAAAAAAAAAAAAAAAGGAAGAAGAAGCCAGGACCTTTAAAATGACCTCATCAGAGGAGAACAAAGGACAAAAGAATGAGAGTAAAGAAATCTATGTGGGTGATCTTTGGGACAGCATCAAAAGAAACAATCCGTGAACTCTCAAGAGTCCGAGAAGGAGACAGAAAGCTTTTATTTCAAGAAATAATGGCTGAGAACATCCCAAATCTAGGGAGTGATTTGGACACCCATGTTCACGAGGCTGAGATCCCCCAAAAAACTCAAAGAGAGCTTCTCTAAAGACACATTATAGTAAAACTATCAAAAGACAAAGGATCCGAGGGCAGCAGGAAAAATAAGTTTGTAACTTACAAGGGAACCCCATAAAGCTTTCAGTGGGTTTCTCAGCAGAACCTTGCAGGGAAGGAGAGAGCGAAATGATCTATTCAGAGCGCTGAAAGAATAAAACTGCCAATCAAGAGCACTCTTCCCAGCAAAGTTGTCCAGAAATGAAGGACAGATAAACGTTCCCAGGCAAACAAAAGCTGAAGGAGTTCATCACCACTAGACCTGCCTTGCAAGAAATGCTGAAAGGAGTTCTTCAAGCTGAAATGAAAAGATGCTAATTAATGACACAAAAACATACGAAATGGATACGTATGAATGGATAAAGATGTGGCACATATACACAATAGAATGTTATTCAGCCACGAGAAAAAGGAAATCCTGCCATTTTGGGCAATATGAACAGACCTTGAGGGTGCTCTCTAAGTGGAATGAGTCAGAAAGCAAAAGACAAACACTGTACGATCTCACTTTCATGTAGTATCTAAAAAGTTGAAGTCACAGAAGCAGAGAGTGGAATGGTAGTTGCCAGGGGCTGGGGGGTGGGGAAAACTGGGAAGATGTTGGTCAAAGGGTAGAAACTTTCAGTTACAAGATGAATAAATTCTGGAGATCTCATGCACAGCACAGTGATTATAGTTAACGATACTGCGTTATATACTTGAAAGTTGCTGAGAGGGTAGATCTTAAATATTCTCATCTCCCCCAAAATGGTAATTATGTGTTGGTGTTAACACCGCTGTGGTGATCGTTTTGCAATATACACATATTGAATCAACACACGCACCTTAAACTTACACAGTGTTATATATCAATTAGGTCAATAGAGCTGGCGGAGAGGTGGGGAGTGGCCCCGGGAAGGGGGGAGGGTGAGAAACAAAAAGGGAGTCAATGGTCTTGAAGGGCTTCGGGATCCAGCAGGTCTAATTCAAGAATCTGCCAGAAAGCTTCCCTTTCTGAAAACAATATTGCTGGCTCCTACTGTAAAAACTACTCAAGTAGTAAAACAGTTGAGCTAGGTTTAAAAATTGATCGGCAATGGATTATTGCAAAGAAACCTTCCACTATCTATCATAATGGCCAAGCTACTTTAAGGCGGTTGAATAAGTAACATGAGAGCAAAATGAAACCGTCTTGTGGGAGTCCTATCACTCTGGCTTGGTCTATGAGAACACAGCCATATTTTGTTTTGTTTTTGTTTTTTAACTCCAGAATTCCTACAGCTAACGATATGGCTTTCATTTCACGTCTAAGGCTCAGTGTTTGATTGCCTCATATAATGCCACCCATGCGGGGAGAACCTCTTTCCAAAAAGAGCCTTCCCAAGCGTGGTGTCATGACTAAAATGTAGATTCATTTTACTTATATTTTAAATGAACACTTTCTGTTTGATACTGAAATATTTTTTTAACAATCCATGTGTTTGAAATTGGCATACTCTAGTTTTCTCCTTTTAGTACATAGGTGGTTTGAAAGTAGAAAATCTTACTTATCAAAAGAAGACCCCATTTGAGATTTTTTTTTCCTACATCACTTGTCTGCCCGTGAAATATTGAAATTCCAAATAAACTAATATGAGAACTCTAAACACACTAATACGTTTTTAGGTCTATTTTTCAGATAAATGAGGTTAATATTACCTCCTCTTTTTAATTAGAGAAATCTGCAATAGAGTTTCATGTCCACTGAAAATGGTTAAAAACATTAAAATATTTCCCTAGAATTTGTTTCCACAAGCCCAAAAACCCTACAATTAAGCAAAAATCAAGAATTATTCATCTCCATTATCAATCCTGAAGCTTTAAAAATATAAGACTGGACAAATAGCAATTAAAAAAATATATATATATATATAAATATTGCTGTGGTTTTTTTGGACATTAGCTTGAGGCAGCTAGCCTGAACACCAAACAGTGTGACATGTTTCGGTAAGTGTAAATGGTGCTTAAAAGCCTTTTTTTTTTATTTGAGTGTAGTTGACACACAATGTTAAACTAGTGTCAGGTGTACAACATAGTGATTTAACTTCTCTGTACATTGTTATGCTCCCATCTGTCACCAAACAATACTATTACAGTACCAGTGATTACAGTCCTATGCTGTGCCTTTTATTCCTGTGACTTATTCATTCCATAACTGGAAGCCTGTATCTCCCAGTCCCCTTCACCCATTTTGCCCGACCCCCATTTAAATACTTACTTCATGATCCCTTCGAGGTTTTTCAGAGTTTACCCTTCATAGAAATCAGGGGGCCCCTCTCAGAGTCAGAAAAAATGTTTAGCATTTTAAACAAAACATAATGTCAAGTTTAGGAGTTTACATATTTATTTATAGCTGCCATCTATTTTTAAACTTGGAAAATCCTACTTGCTTAAACTAGCAAAGCTGATTCCAAAATGATGGCGGTAGTAAAATCCTCAGGGTTCCCCCCACCCTTGGCTTTAGTCATTCCGAGGATCCAGAACACCTTCTTTTGGTGATTAGCTGATTAAACTATGCTAGTTATACCAATGCGGACTACTAATTGAAAACACAAGTTAAAAACTTAATCCGGGGCGCCTGGGTGGCTCAGTTGGTTAAGCGACTGCCTTCAGCTCAGGTCATGATCCTGGAGTCCCT